CATCATTGATCTATTACCGACATTTTTTTATATAAGATTAACTCATATAATTTTATTATGATAGATTATCTTATTGGATAATTTAAATATTTTCACTCTATTAAATTAGACAAACTCCATTAAATAATTTAAGTCCTAATTAACAACGTAAACATCCTCCTGATACACATAATTAGCAATTAGGACCACAATGAAATTAACAAAAATGACAACCATCAAAAGGGTTGATATTGCCATCATCACAATCTTCCCCAGTAACAACTAATTCATCACCACAAATATTGTGACATTTATTTTGAATCAATTAGAATCCTACTTAACATTACAAACAACCATTTACTTAGCAATTTAAACAACTAGGTTGACAAGATAATTAACAATTATAACAGCCATCATAAAGTAAAGTATTCATATCTTCACATGCTTCATTTCCAACTTTTATATTATCATTGCATAATTCTAAACATTTATTGCTTTTAGTATCAAGGTAATAATGATCAATGCATTGTAAACATTTTCCATTCAGGCAAGTCAAACAAACTGAAGTTTAACATTAGAACTTACAAATCGAGCTGCATCCATCATTGTCAATTAAATTAAAATCATCGCATTCCTCTGTATTTCTTCCAAAGGGATCAACTGCAAGGTACCCATCCCCACAAATATTAACACAAAAATAGCTTTAAGGTTTAAATCCAACAACTTTACATTCCAAACAAGTATTTCCATTTGAACTGCACGTTTTGCAATCATTCCTGCATAGTCTCTTACATTAAAAACAATTATCATTTTCATCCAGATTATATCCATCATCACATTCTTCTGACCCTATAACTATTGAATCTCCGCAGTTCTCAATACATTACAGTGTATCAATGTTGATAATCCAACCATATGTTAAACATTCATAACATAAACCTCTTATACATTTTGTACATTAAACTTAGCAATCTAACTTGCAATCATAACAACCGTCAAATTAAATATTATTACCATCATCACATTCTTCAAGACCACTTGTGATTCCATCTCCACATATATCTGGACAAGGAAAACTGTTAATAGATTACAGGTCAAGCATTATTTTGGGCACTAAAATTTACAATTTGTGCAACCATCATTAGTTTATTAATTCCCATCTTCACATTCTTCTTCACCTGTTAATAATAAATCTCCACATATTGGGATGCATTAATTGTTAATGTTTTAAAAACCCGACTAACATGTAACTAGGTCACAAGGTTAATTGTGCCATTTAATTATTTCATTTCCACATTTTTTGTAACAATATTATATTGTCCAATAGATAATTAAAATATAAAAACTCACTCAGGCTAAACAGGTTGACTTTTGATTAAGTTAACCATTCAAGATTAATTTAGTAATTTGATAATCCTTAGATCAAAAATAATTTGAAAAATCTTTGTCTCCATAGAACTTATTTAGTAAACTAATAATTAGAATAGACTTTGATTATTATTGCTATATCATTAACTAAATTAGTCAAACTTAAATTTAGTATCTGTTACTTAATATCTCAAATTCTGATTTAAGACATATTTATTTTTAGAATAAAGCCTCAAGAAGATCAAATTTTTTGTTTAAATTAACAAATAAGTTTACATCTTCTGTTCTGATGTTGACTATTTTTACACTCTTTTCTGTTTTTCTGAAAGACTAAATGATATTTAACTTTCCCCGAAAACTTTGTCAATAAACCAATTTTTATCCTTTTGAACTAATTAGACTCTTTACCTTACAGGAGTGCCCTTATAGAAATTCAATATTTCTAACATGGACCTGTATAGATGTGAATAGTGAAACATCTACATGTGGTTCACTCGCAAATGATAAGTTAATTCTTATTTCTTAACAGCTGGGTTTTTGATCTTGGGCGCCCTGTCGGAAAATAAATTGCATCTTTATATTACCAATCTTCCCTAATATTCACCTACATTTAGAGTTTGTTTCCTCATTCTGATAAAATTGATCACTTTAAAAATATTTTTTTGAAAATACACGTTTCAATTATTTTTCTTCAATTTGGTGATATCCCTCTTTGTGTGGATAATCAGAGAGGCATTCAGTATAAGGTATTTGGCCCATCTTTGGTCAAAATGCATCTTATTTGGTTTATACTTTAAAGTTATACCTTTGAACGTGATTTCTTTTTTTTCTTATTCATCCAGCAGCTTAGTAGTCTTTTATAATAGTTGGCTGGGATTTTTGCCTTCTTATAAGCTAATAATTCCCAATAAATAACATGTTTACAAGAAGCTCAAATAGGAATTTAT